CGCTGCGTTGGCGTGGTGGTGAAATCTCCACATCTGGTTTGTGTAATTAGTCTGCCGAGCAGCCTCGATTGCAAGTTTTGTATTCTAATCAAATGTGTGGGTGGATGCAAAGTGATGAGGCTCTTAAATTTCCAGCCGAGGCCCCGTCTCTGAAGTGTCGCAATTTAAAAGAATCTTTCAGCGTTGGAGGTCTGAGCTCCACGCAGAGGCCTCTGGTATCAACACTGCGGCCCCTGTCATACATGTGGCTGTAAATCTGTGCTCCCTGGTGAATTACACTGCGAGTGTATTAAATAAAACCGCTCCCCTTCACCCCCTGAACACATTTATACAGACTAATGCGCTTTCAGCAGCAGTATGTTTGGTTACCGTCTGCACTCTCCGATCTCATTCTTATAAATCCAGACGTCCAGTTTGGAGAAGACATGACTTTAAAGCGATCTGTGACGATTCTCAGTCATCCAGGTCTTAGTTTATCCAAGGTGGGTTAAAATCAAGAGACTTCTTTAAGACCCCAGAGAGGTTAAATAGCTGGGACTCCTTGTCCTGCAGTCAGAACTGAAGAAGCTTCTCAGATGAGACACAAAACGTCCTCAAGTATCTTCAACTAAGTCCAGTTGCCTTTGATTTTAACCCACATTGGAAACCTTTAAAGCTGCATTCATCGATTCTTGGCCACTAGGGGGCAGAATAACTTTTCAATAACCTGGCACATCATCCTTTTGTAAAGTCCTTCATGTTAGCAAACTCTGATCTTCACTCCCCTTTAGACTCTGGTTTGGTTAAGGAAACAGATCTGGCTCTTTAGCTGCTGGCTGTTTCATTTTCTACCTTTAAAAGAGATTGCAGATTTTCCTGTTAGACAGCGCAGATTTATTTCCCCCGCATGATTAAATGCATTTGACTAGCTGGTCTGACCTGGCCTATAGTTCACTGACGTCTAGATACGTTGAGGAATGGTGGCAGAAAACAACTCGGTCAGGTTTAGGAAGAGATCAATTTACACGGGACTTTAACACCAGCCTACTGTGTTGGTTTGACCCAGCTATCCACCCCAGACACCTCTTTACGTGGACTCTCTCGCGCTTCACACTACGTCATCGGACTTCCTCCTTTGATACCATCATACAACAACTAGAGGTCGCAGCCTGACGTACGAGATGAGAGATCTACAAGTGACGATAGATACTAGGAGGATCTGAAATGTCATCAGTGGGGTAAATACCTAGGGTAACAAGTGGGAGTTAACACCACAAGTTCCTTCGAGAAAAGTATTTGTTTAAAAGAAGACGATATGTAACGCTGTTGAGGTTGTTTTATATCAACAGGAGGAAACATTTTGAATCAACGGATCCTCCTGGTAGTTTCACATTTATTTATTTAGCTAACATTTCATGATGCACTTATTGTAACAGCGTCAGCTAAAGAAATCTAAAGCACGCCTGGTCAAGGTTAGAGAACTATTACTGTCCTATGGGACAAGAAGCACAGCAGGTTCAATATTTAACCAAAACCACCCTCTTTTTTGTAGCCTGAACGTGCAGACGGTGAACTGTTCTCTCAGGTGTAACCTGCTCTTGTCCTACAAATCATTTAGTAAAACATTTAGTTTAAATGTGAGTTTTAGGACAGGCCAGCATAAAGTCGGGGACGCTCTTCTTTATTTTCTGCATCGGCCAAAAACAAACCAGGGTGGATTTTTACATAAACATCTCACCTCATGCAGTTTCATGTTGGCGGCGGTTCCCCAGCTGGCCTGCTCTACTGACTACAGGGGGGAAAAGGGGGGAATGCCGCCTTCTTCTGCTCAGAATAATGTCATCAGGATCAAACTCAACCTGCAGGTGGGGAGATCAAATCTTCCCCTTCAGTTTAATTAAAGCACATTCCTCTCTGCGCCACCCGACTCACCTGGAACTCATTCAGCTACAGATTATTTGTCAAAAAGCTTCTGTACGTTTAATTTGATCAGCTAAAACAACACCTGTAAACCATCTTCAGGTGTCCCCATACACCTGAAGAACAGATAACCCCCCCCCCCCCCCCCGCCGCCGCCCCCAGCCATCACCTCGCGCCTCCTTTCAGAGACGTCTTGTTCAAACCTTCAACCTTCTGGGACCACAACATGTTCTCTGGGCGTATCTGCTCACACGTTGTGTAACAGCTGGCACAAACAGAGTCCACCTTAAACAGCACTTTCTTTGATAAAGTCCGACCCTGATAAAGTCCAGAGCATCACGTCACCGCAGAGGAACTGTGGAGACTTTTAACTCTTATCTACCACTCGAACAACCGTGTCATATTCTAATCAGGTGTCCGTTACATCCCTACATTTAGGTTTATCTCTCTGATCCCTCTGAAATGTTTCTAAACTGATCAGGAGCTGATTTTTATCATCCTGTCACTAACAAGATGTCAAGAAGTCAAACTGTTTTGACATTTGAGGGCACTGAAGACATCCTAAACAACGTGACTTTCCTAAATCTACCACGAAAATAGGAATATTTTCTATTTTATGATTTTTATGCACACAGACTCTGGTCTTCAGACTTGACCTATATTTATCTAAACTATTCTCTGGTTCAGCAGCGGGAGTCAAATCCAAGATAAAGGTGGTTACGAGGAAACACCTGAACAGAAAGGACTGCAGGACTGTTTTAACTCGGTGTTCCTGATAAACAGCGAAGGTGTCTGTTTTATATTCTGGTGAACGTCTGTTGGTGCCCAGCAGTGGTAAAGATTAAAGTACCCTGCAGGATTTTTACTTTGGAAGTACATTTAGCAGGTAATACTTTGATACTTGAACACACTCTGAAATGCAGGACTTGTACTGGAGTATTTTTACACAGTGGCAATGCTCTACTTTTATTTAAGTAAATGATCTGAATACTTGATACTGATTTTACCTCTTTATTCTCTACAGGAATTTTCTTTAGTACTATCAGTATCAGTCAAATATTCTTATGATGCTCCTGTGCACATAATATATAAAGTAGTATAAAGCTACAACAAACTATTTTTTATTCTCGATCAATCGGACGATCATTTTCTTGATTAATCGTTTGCTTTTATACATTTAAAAAGTGCAATTTTTGAGGATCCGTTCCACCTCAACACCACTAATACTCGTTATGTTTACTATTTATTAATTATTACAATTTACCATTACTGTACATATTTCCACACTCCTGTTTCTATTTTTTTATTATTATTTCCTTCACCTTAAATGCCGTGATGTGCAAGACTTTCCCCTCAGGGATCAATAAGGTGTTTCTGATTCTGACTCTTAAAAAGTCGTCTTCAAACTTCTTTTTTTTGTCTGAGAAACGAACCCGAAGAGATTCAGTAACTCACACAGGAGAGGCTGCAACAAATGATCAATCGATTAGATCAGTGGTTGTCAAACTCTTTCACATCCAGGACCCCTAATAGGACCCAAAGTAGACCACAGACCCCTGTTTGATAAGATTTTGTCCCTTTAAATTACTTATTTATTACAGAAAGTGCATGAGAAGAGCTAAAGAGCCCAAACTTCTGTCGTTGTGTTACATGGAATAATATGTGAAAATGAAAGATTCCCCTTTTTGCTGGGGAACCTCCTCAAGGATCCCTGGGGGTCCGCGGACCCCACTTTGATAGTTCATTCATTCTCTGTCAGTTGACTAATCTGTTCAGCTCTCTATCGCCGATTATATCCGAATACTGAAGGAACACAACCACTGAGGTCGCATCTCTCTGGGGCGTTTACATGGCAGAGAAACTCACACAAAGTGTTTCTGTTAAATGACGATCCAACTTTTTTTCAGTCTCAATACATTTAAATTCGATGACTTTTCAGAAAACAAAATACACAAAAGGGTTAAAGTAAAGTAGTTTGATGTAAAGATCCCACAGGTTACTGCTCTTTGTTGTTTAACCTAAATTTAAAAGCCAAACCAGAACGTTACATGACGACATCAGCTGCTTCTTCATCTGCAGCAAATAAACTCACAAATATATCAAGAAGTAATATCAGATTTTTGTTTCTGGCGTAGGGAAACCAAACAAAGACGTAGCTGAAGAGTTAACTGACTAAAAACATGATAAACTCTTGAGTTTCTGAATCCAGGACATTTTAATAATAACAGCCTTTATTTTTATATCACTGTTCTTTCAGAAAATGCAGCTGTTGTAGCAGAGAGGACAGACATAGAAATACATAAATAAAAATGTGTTTAATCAAATACAAAAAAAAGCATAATAGTCTTGAGCTGCTTTCTAAAACTCTCTATGGAGGCAGCTTCTCTTATGTGTAAAGAAAGTCAGTTTCAAGCCATAAAAACACAACCAAACTTTTTGCTGTTGGTTCTCGGTGCATTAAGCAGAGCTGCAGCAGAGGAACTGACAGAATGTGACCAGATGACAGGAATAACGACTCTATTACTAACAAATCTACAAAAGCGTCACCACACAGCTGCGATCAAATATCCTCTGCTGATCAGAAGCAGTGTTTTACACACAGGAGGAATCTGCTTTGGTGATGAGGTGCTACACGCAGACAAACATATAAATACGGAATAAACAGATGCAAAATACTTTGACACTAATATTACAAAGACTTCCCCTCAGAAGAGAATAAAGGCTCTCATGTAACTGCTCAGTGGAGACAGACTGTAAACGTGCAGCTACATGCAGCCAGCAGCATCATGGAAAACAGGATTTTTCCCCCTTTTTTCAGCTCTCAGGTCAGAAAAAAACCTTTATTTCTGTTTTCCTCATTAAAAACCCGCCAATCAAAAAAGCTTCACCAGAGAGAGAGAGATGAACATCTGTCCAGCTGCTGAAGCTGCAAATAAATACTGTTTCATCACAAACAACGAGCTCAGCCTGAACATGTTTCAGTTCAGAAGCATGATGAAGAAATTAAAAGTTGCACATCGGGAAGAACGAAAGCTGCCACATGAAGCTGTCTGCTGGGCTCTAATGGAGGTGAAACCATCACAAAAGACTTGAGCACTCACATGTTTTCACTGCAGCGGCAGCTGGTCCCCCTGCAGGATCATCCTCCCGCTCCCAAAACTCTGAGCGAACTTTTACTTGCGCCAAAAAGTTTGGAGACTCCAAATCAACGAAATCCAAAAGGCGCCTGGTTCACGCGCAAAAGTCTCCAAAGTTTTGGAGAGAGGTGGAGAAAGAGAGAGAGGCGGCCCTGCCCGGGTGGGTTCGCTTTGTTAATCCGGACTCCCCGGCTGCGGTGTGAGGATGCTGCTCTGAAGGCAGCGGAGACTCTGAGCGTCGCTTTGGGAGGAGAAGAGGAGTCAAGCTGCAACGACGGAAACCACGCACTTCCGGACACGGTTTCAAAATAAATACAGCCGGACAAACAAAACCAAACTTTCACAATAAAACCAGTGAGTCAGACACACGTTGAATCATCACCGCCCTTCAGACAAAGAACCTGTCCGCTCTGAGTTATTAGAGAAGACGTACAGGGCTACATACTCTTCAACAAGCGTGTGCGTGAGCTCAGGTTGGGTGATTTTCTTGCTGTATGTGTAAACACAGCCTGGATAAACACATCAAACGAAGCATCTTAACTTCTAAAAATACTCTGGAGTAAACTGCAACAAAGGAAAGAGTTATTAATATAGACAGTTAAGACACGTAGAACAATGCTCTACATCAGGAGGAGGTGAAACAGCATTATGTTACTTATCAAAAGCACCTGCTGTAGAACAGTGTGCGGTTTGGTTGAAGAGAGGCAGACGTTTACATGTCTAAGGACAGAGCTTTGTTGTCTGTGTCTGAGGCTGAAGCAGCAGTGTTAGCCTACTTTTAAATGGTAGGAAATATAACGAGGATCAGAATGAGGTCAGAGTATAATTACACATTATGGAGGGTCGGGGAAAATATTGCATAACGCTGCATCAAGTAGCAAAAACTCATTCTTTGCATTAACCCAAGCTTCGCCCGAGGACCAAGTCCAGATCTGCGCCAGGGCCCTGGTCAATGGCACTGACTGCTTTGATGGATGTACTTCCTGCAGCAGCTGAAGAAGTTCAGCCTGCCAAAGACAATGATGGTGCACTTCTACACCTCCTCCATCACCATCTGGTGCGCTGCTGCCACTGCCAGGGACAAGGGCATCATTCGCTCTGCAGAGAAGCTGATCGGCTGCAATCTTCAGGACCTGTACGCCTCCAGGACTCAGCTGACCCAGCTGACCCCTCCCACCCTGGACACAAGCCGTTTCAGACTCTCCCCTCTGGCAGGAGGCTGCTGTCCATCAGGACCAAAACCTCTCGCCACAAACAGCTTCTTCCCGTCTGCAGCCTCATCAACAAGGTCCGGGTTCCCCCACTGACACCCCCCCTTCAAATAATGCAAATGTCTCTGCACATGTAAATACTGTGTCATTTCATATCATGCACAAACCCGGCACGTTGCACAAATGTGTTGTTAATTGTTCATCTTTGTTGTTGTGTATTTTTATGTTGTCAATTTACAAATTTATGCACACAATATCCTCTTCGTTGCAACACGTCTGCACAACACAAACCAGAATAATGCACATGTAAATATCTGCCACGTTGTTCTTTCTCTGCAAATAAGTTGGATTATTTTCTAGTTTGGTCAGGAAACCCACACAGACACGGAGACAAGATGCAAACTCCACACAGACACGGAGACAAGATGCAAACTCCACACAAACACGGGGACAAGATGCAAACTCCACACAGACACGGGGACAAGATGCAAACTCCACACAGACACGGGGACAAGATGCAAACTCCACACAGACGACCAGGGTTTTTTTGTTACTTCTTTTGGACAACGCACACTTGTTTCTTCTATCTGGTACAAGCTACTTTTCTTTTTTACCAATTATGCTTTTAAGAAGTGATGGGGACAAAATCAGCCCTTGACACCTACGCTGTCGTGGCTCAATTGTTGATTGTCTCTGGGATAAAATAACATGATGAGGATCCCAAAGGTGTCCAGGAAGTGACTGAAAGCAAGTAAACCAAGGAGGAAGGAGGGGGGAGGGGCGGCGCCTTTTTCAAGCCACATCCCCAGACTTTGAGAACCCCTGTTTCTACCTACCTCTGCATATTGAAATAATCTAAGTGTGTCTGTCAGTGTAAGAGTAAAGTGTATGTTAGTGTTTCCACCATCAGGTGGTGCGTCCTGCAGGTGGGAGAGTGAAATCATCTGTTCGGCATCATCACAGAAACAGCATGTGAAGCCCCGCGTGGCATTTGATCGATCGCGATAACTCCGCTGTGATAAACGCGGAGCACAATGGAGACAGTGAAGCGAGCGTGAGCTGCTGCCTCTCATTTGCCTTCAAACGTCATGTGGTCAGATCTTCCAGCCTGATAGAAACATGGGAGCGGAGACGGGAGGAGGCTGCAGAGATTTGCATCATGATGAGTCCCTGCAGGAAAACCTCTCCATCATCCTCATCCTCATCACTCCCTCTCAGGGAGGGGACGGCCTCTGATGAAGCCGCTCTGCAGAAAGTGGAAAACATGGCTCAGACTTCATGAAAACTGTTCAGACGGCGGTAATGTGTCTGTGATGAGCTGCGATCGGTGAAGCTCTGGTCGCCACTTTCAAACTCAACAGGTGTTGATTTCCTGAGACTTCCTTTTCCGAAACACTGTCAGCAGATTCAAGCAGACCTAAAGTGCAGAATGATTCGCAGCCTGATGTCTCCTCTTCCCTCTCTGCTGCACTGGGTGACCTTCATCACCATGAACACACACTGCAGTTTATTCTGGCCCCACATTCACCATCCTGCCGCTCCAAACACTCACTACAGCACACGTGGATTCATCCGCCGCGGAAAATAGTCCCCAACTAACGCACATTTTCCTCCCGTTTGTCTGATACAAACTACAGCGAGCATGAAACTATACATGTGTGAGGTGTTTTCTGCAGACAGGAAGTCAGACAGTGTTGAGACGGACTGGCGTGGTTTTGGTTTTGGCCCTGAACCCTCACTGACTTCGCTGCCATCCTGTGGTAAGTGCTTCAGTGTGAGAGGCTCTAAGGGCCCGAGATGGTTTAATGGGACAGAACAGCATTTTGCGACCCATCACGTTACCTTGAGGACGCCAAAACAACTGCGGGTTTGGGACTTTTGAGTTTAACTTTTTTACTTCCTTCACAGCTGAGGAACTGAAGGGGCCGACTGCCCGATTTGAAGGGGCTCCTGCAGAGTAAACTGCTTATTTGGCTTATTAAAACTGCATCACACTTACATGTAAACTTCCTTATTCTCATAGTTGCTCCTTCCATGTCTGTTTACCTTTTCTCCTCCTGGTAACACTATGAACTGTGGGTCATTTCCTCAGGCAGAGTCTGCAGAGGTGCCGACTCACGGAAAGTCTGCTTAAAGGGCTCAAACGGTCGAGGACGGGGTGGTGGACGGGTGTGAAGTTTGCGTCCCGTGATTGTAACCGTTCATTCACAGTCTTTGAACAGGACTGAGGGACGTTCACCACGATGACCACGTGTTAACTTTCAAACACACAGTGACGTCATGTTGTCCCGTGAAATAACGAATGTTTGCTGCGTCTCTGAACTGGACCGGGAGCCGCTTCAGTTCCAGGAACACCGGCCTCCCGGAGCTTTTATACGAGTTAACTGAAGGCGCCACTTTCTGCCCCGGGCTGAGGACCTGACCCCACTCTGAAAAGAAAATACCTTCTTAAGAGACAGGAGTCTCAGTCAGAGGGCCGGGTTATGTAATATTAATAAAAAGAAGAAAACGTTTTGTCCCTGGCAGAAACACTCACAAAATAAAACCTGTTTTATGACAGTGGACTGAACAAGAAGTACAGAGACGAGAATCAGAGCACAAAGCATTAAAAAGGTCTTCGAGGTGAAACACTTGGCTGATTTATCGACCTGATTTATTAGTTTCTTCTAAAAATAGAAGCAAACGGGGACAAAAACCGACCAGGAGACACCAAATACACCCGGAGAGACAGAAAGACTTTTAATTTGAAAGGCAGATAATGGCAGACAGACAGACAGACAGACAGACAGACAGACAGACAGACAGACAGACAGACAGGAAGACAGGAAGACAGACAGGAAGACAGGCAGACAGGCAGACAGGCAGGCAGACAGACAGACAGGAAGACAGACAGGAAGACAGGCAGACAGACAGACAGACACAGACAGACAGGCAGACAGACAGGAAGACAGGCAGACAGGCAGACAGGCAGGCAGACAGACAGACAGACAGGAAGACAGACAGGAAGACAGGCAGACAGACAGACAGACAGACAGACAGACACAGACAGACAGGCAGACAGACAGACAGACAGACAGACAGACAGCTTCAGATGTAGTTTAGAGGAAGTTAGTGATGATCTGAAAATGTCTCTGAATGAAGAGGACACCTGTTGTCTTCATGGTTTCTGCTGAACCACCAAATCCATTTTATACCACAAGCTTTGCAGCCAGAAATGTTAATCACAATCTTTGGCACTCTGAGTGATCAGCTGTCAAAGGTTAAAGGATCCCTCTCGGAAAAGCAAAATCTCTGAATAAAACAACATTTGTTATCCTCCCAAAACAACACGATTGTTTCCTGTAGCAGCCCACGACTAGCGACCGGAACTAAACGACGTTACGCAAGTCACATGACATTAAACACGCGGTTAACGTGAAACAGTCGCAGTTTGGTGAGATTGAGGGAAAACGTCGTGGTTCGGGTTAAAATCAAGGGAGTAAGCGAGAGTTCAAACAGTGAAGCTGACCACAGCCTGCATGGAGGAGTCATCAGGCCCCAAAAGATAAGAAGCTGTCGGGCAATCTAAAAAACCTGTTCTGACATCAGTGACGCCAGCTGGTAGCCTTGTAGTCGTACTACCAAGCGGGAAGCTTACGGTCAGAGAACTGATGCGAACGCAGAAGTCCCTTAAACCAGAATTATATAGAACGGCCAGCAGGGGGCGACTCTACCGATTACAAAAAGAAGTCCGGCTCCATTAGAAATTATGGTAAAATGTTTCTACTTGTCAGCTGATTTATTCCCTCAGTAAACACTTTCCTGATGAGTTTATGGTCTCAGTCGCTAGTTTCAAGTCTTCTTCACCACAGCGTGATGTTCATTTAGTAAATTATGGTCCCATTTAGAGCTAATCTAGGTAGCTAGCTCAGCACGTCCAAATACGGTCACGTCTGGTGCCACTGGTTGCAAAAACTCAACATGGCGGCACCCTATAGGCCAAATTTGAGGCTTCAAAACGGCATACCATACGTGTGACATCACCATGACTACGCCCACTTCTTATATACAGTCTGTGCGTACTACACAGGACCAAAACTGGCTTCACTGCTCTCCATTCAAACCCACAGAGAAGCTTCGTCCTTTAATTATATTGTGAAGGTTTAAGAACATTACGTCAGTCACGTGACGGGAGTCAGTAACGCTATTTAACTTTCTCGCTATTTAAACTAGTCGCTAATATATAATCTCCCTACTTCCTCTTTTGCTTCCGTCGTACTAACGGAAGTTTCCACAGATCAGTCAAAGTGTTTTCAGACTGTCGTCCCGAGGACCTGGAGCTACATTCTTAAGCTAATGTTTTCATTTCTGTCAAAGTAAAGACACTTAACACGTTTCCATCGGCTAACTTTTCAAAAACAGAAGAATCTCTTTTTTAAACTTAAAAGTTTTAAAGTACAGACAACAAACTGAGAAGAGCAGCGAGACATTTAAAAATGGACAAACATGTCAGGGTTTTTTTTTGTTTTTTTTTACAGTGCAGTGACAGATTTAGGGTTTAGAAGTAAAGATGGACTTTATGTGAACTTGTTTTAATGCGTTTTAAGACGAGCTGGGACACTTTGAACTTTAGGTTTGTAACCCCCCCCTACTTTCCTCAGAAAACACCATGACGACCCAAACTGGAACCACCTGCTTCCCTCCATTACACAAGCCTTCACCTCCAGCATCGCTGACTTCCTCTCATGACGTCTGAGTCCCCTTTGTGACGACTGTATTTTGAAATTTAACAAATGAGGTTAAAGTTCACAGGTTCCGCTCCTGAAACTTTAGTGTCTCGTTCCGGGGACATCCGAGACCCCAGAAACTGAAAATAGGAGACTTTTTGGTGACAAAGGGGAAAAAAAATTATATTTAAGCTTTTAGAGCCACTTTGTCTGAGCCGGTGGATTTATCTATCAAAGATCTAGAAGTTGGACAAAAGATATAATAAACACTAGGCTATAGATCATTTGGTGGCAACTGAGAAAGCAGTTTCAGCTTAGTTCATGTTCTAAAATAGAGTATTTTATATAAAGCATATTTTGAGGTCAATCAGGCGTCGGCTTTCTGCTCGTACTGACTCTGAAGCTGAAAGGCAACAAACTTTCAGAATATGAGCTTCAACATTTTAAACCAGACATCCAACTTTTCATAAAATAATAAATGAAAAACAGGAGAGGAGAGTTCAGGCTCTTTGTTTCAGCAGGTTTGTGCCACAAACACACATTTTAAAATCAGTGTTTTGCAGGAAGTTGAATTCAAACTTCATCTAGAAAAACAGAGAGAACAGCTCCATTACTGGGGCTTCAAACGAGCGTTTTATTGGAAACCAGTCTACTTACCAGGAGTCAGTGGTTCTGGGGTGACGTAGAGCCTCCTCAGGGGGGTCGTGGACGTTGAGCGGTCCTAAATGATGATGCTAGCAAGGCTATGTTGCTAACCTGAATCTTCTTTATTTCTGCATTGTAAATGATTGATACACATTAAATCCACTTTAGGTGGCGTTTCTGTTGATGTCTCCCAGCAGGCTGAGCTAATGTTATCTAGAGACCCTGAAGAAGGTGTTTCTGATACTGATGTGGTGTATAACTGAGATCTGCCAGCATTAGCTGTTGTCAGGACTCTACCCCGTTTATCACTCTGCTGGTGGTTATGAACATCCTAACTAATCCATAACAGCTCATTTGTTGGCAATAAGAAATAAATGCAAACTGCATCGATCCTGTGCCTGATTTTATGGAGAAAACTGGTTCACATCTTATTTTGGTTATGTCATGTTCATGTTAGCTGGCTCAAACCCTGAACTTGAATTAATTTATATAAAAAACAAACAGATAAAACCTTTGTTTAGAAGACTGGAAATGATTGGAGCCTCCCGGTGCACGAGCTCGGCTACAGATACCCACGCACAAACGCCAACAACACAAAGCATCATTTCAAATATTTTATTCAAATGAACTTGAACCACTCTGATGATGAGATATGAGAGAACACCCTTAAAGTCCTGCCCACTACAATAAGTTCTGAGAAACTTAAATTAATTGTTAAATAACAAGCAGAAACTAAATCACGGCCTCAGAGACAGAGATATGTCAACACTAAATCAAAGTGTAACCCAAATGTAGTCAAACACATTCTGAACTGCATTTTACAGGTAAAGAAAAGAAAGAAAAAGGTTTGAGGGTCAGTTCTTCCGTTAAGAATACAATGGAGGAAGATGTGGCCGCTGTCAACTAACTCAGCTGCAGAGGACGAGAAGAATCTGAAGAAACCGGCTTCTGGAAAGCTGCTCGGCAGTCAGATTCATCACCTGCATGCAAGAGGAACTGCTCCACGAGTCAGCCGGCTCAGTCAGTCAGAGTTTAGTCCGTAGCAAACGTCAGTCGGTGGTCAGCTGTGATTTCCTGCTCTAGCTAAGTCACGCGTCATGTTCGTCAGTCTGCTGGGGGCGGCTGTAGTTTTTGAAACATGCTTCTTCTTGTAGAGTCCGATGAGAAGACGGCGATGAAGGCAGAGCCAGGTTCAGAAAGAAGAATCTGATGATTCACACCATTAGAGTCAGTTTATCAACACTAAACCAGAGAGAGGAGCCGGACGTTAGCAGACGACGGGGGAAGAAGCGCAGGATCTGAGCGCAGAAACAGAATCTGATCGCAAACTATTTCTGGATTTAATTTTAATGTTTTGTTTTGATCCTGTCTTATGACTTATTTAGTGTAAATTGTAAACCACACTGAACGGCCACTGTGTATGAAATGAGTGCGCTCTATTAAACTACTTCTATTTGGCTGCATCACAACAATGTCTGTATGTGAGGATCCTGATGAATCTGGAATAAGCCAATAACGGGTCAATAAAGAAGCTCTGCCCTGCTGTTTGGGCTCTAATAGCCGTCAGTCTGTCAGTCAGTCAGTCAGAGCGACGCAGGGTCGGACACTGGCAGCCATTGTTGCAGACTGATTTCCATCATGTCCTCTGACGGCGAGCTGAACGGCCTCAGTGTGTGTGTGTGAGTGTGTGTGCGTCCTCAGATCAGTGCAGATAGAGAGAGCGGCGCTGCTGGAGAGAAAAAGGGGAGGGAGGCGTGGAAGGAGGGATTGGATCGGAGGAGGACAAAGGTTTCATTCTTTGCCGGTGGTGAGGAGCTGCAGGGCTTTCTGGAGGTTCTGGATGGCCGTGCCGACGTCCTCGTACTGCAGGGCGCTGCCGGCGTACTTGCAGTACTTCTGGGCCTTGGTGAAGTCGTCTGGGGAGAGATGAACGCCGCCTGGAGGGAGGGATGATGGGAGGGCGGGGTGACAGGAAGGAAGAATTGGAAGATAGCAGGAGGAGGGGAAACAGAGTCAGATATCAGCTAATCAGAGGAATCGGGGATGATTACCGAGGCTGCGACCAGCGGCGCGAAGACTGATGCTGACATAAATCATCAAACCGTTATCACCAGAAACATTTCAGTGAATGTTTGTCTCTTCTTCTCACACACAGAAAACATCCACAACAGCTTCCTGTGCTTCTGTAAACCTGAATCACAACCTGGACCTTGAGTCTGATACAAATAACAATTCTATGCATTTTAGATCCCATAATAAATAAATAATCACACGTTTGGTCAGTAAAATGTCAGAAAATACAGAATTATGATCATTAAAAGTTGTCAGATCTCAAAAAGATTCAGTTATAATGAAACAGAGGATACTTTGGAAAACGAATGAACGAATAATTGATCAAACATTTCTGTCAACTGAGTCATCTTTTTACAGTTTTTAAAGACGCCGTTTCCAGAAAACTAAAACAACCTAAAACAGGACAGAAAAATCTTGGAAGTGGAAACAACAGATTTTACATTTTGTGTTTCGTTGACTAAATTGATTTCTGAATAATAATAATAAGACATCATGTTCCAGAGAGAGACAGTAAAGAGAGAAGAAGAAACTCGGCGTCCCTTTTTAACGCCCTGGGTAGCCTTATGCAACGTCCAGATAATAAAAGTAGTGGTTACTACGTTACTTATGTGACTCCAGTGAAGTAAATTATGTAACATCACTAAAAAGAATCAATGTTGACTTTTTGACTTTTGACAAAGCGTCCGTATGTGACGCCCTGAGAATGAGGACGGGCTGGAACGTCTTTTGGAATAATTTTATATACAGTATCTCCCAAAAGTGAGTACACCCCTCACATTTTTATACAAATACACAATCTTCACAAAATTACTCACTGTTGTTGCCAGCGGTTTGGACATTAACGGCTGTGTGACGTGTTATTTTGAGGGGACAGCAAATTTACACTGAGCTGCACACTCACTACTTTACACTGTAGCAAAGTGTCATTTCTTCAGCGTTGTCACATGAAAAGATAGAATCAGATATTTACAAAAATGTGAGGGGTGGACTCACTTTTGTGAGATCCCGTAGACACAGTTAGATTTAATTAAATAACCATTTCCTGTGGCCTTAGTTTGATTCCCTACATGTTTTAAAGTTACACTTTTGGGATTTGTGCAGCGAGATCCTCAAAGCTTCACCTCCACCAACAAGTTCAATTTAGTCTTTGACTTAACTCAAGTGTAACAACTGAAATCACTAAACCAGCGCTGGATTACTGGAGCGCTGAGAAGGTGATTTAACAGTTTCTGCTAGAGAGATGGGGTTTTCTGGAAAGATAAATCTTGACACTCCTCTCTTTCTTTTTGTTTTAAATTTAATTCAGCGTTTATTGGCATGAAGTTCTGAACATAAAACAGAACACCAAAGCAGATCTGTTTCTCTGTCTGCTGCCACTTGTTCACTAAAATGTTTGCTTGTGTGTAACGACAGTCACAGTCCTCCCGTCCTCCCGTCCTTTGTCCAATGCAAGTAACATTACACATTTTCACAGCTGCAGACTCAGAGTTAGAAAGGCTGATAAGAGCTCCTGCTAACGTGGGAGCACTTGTCTTTTTTTGGTCTTTATCGTTGGGGTCCACGCAGACATCGTGGCCTCATCTTTCCACACGGAGTTTGCCTTTAATAAAGGCCATCAACAACAGCTCTAACCCTAAAAGCCGGCACTCGGCCGGGACTCCCCTGAAATATGAAGCCGTGCAAGTCACTGAATGTTTCATGACACAGTCCTGAAAATATTTCACAATAAAAGCCCCGTTAAGAAATGAAAGGATTCCGTCCATATAGAGGGTTTTAATTTGAGGATGATCCAGGACTGCAGGACAAACTGACTGCAGTATCAATAAGAGTATTCTCATCAATTAAGTCCTCACTTTGGGAACGGCAAGGGATCAAAAAGACCACGTTAAAATAGAAAGTGTAGTCTGGCTCCAGAAGGATTTAGGTGCTCTCCTGGTACATGTATTATTACATTTATACAGGTCCATTATGAGCTGCGCTGTCGCCACTGAGGCGAACGTGGAAGTACCTGCTGCAGAGCTCAGGGGGCGCCGTCATCTGAACCTTTTAAAATAAAGACTGATCTGTGATCTGCCTGATGACGGGAGCTGTCAGCGAGGAGGCGTGACTACTTACACTGTGTATAAGTACACGGTGCAGCTTCCCTTTGATCAACTCTCATCACTGCGGTATTTAATAAAGAGAGACCAGCGCTGTCCTATAACCTCTGAGACAGACCCCTCCCTGTGAGCTCATCAGGTCCACAACATGCACCCCCACCCTCCCTCTGTAAACCTATGACCCACAAACCTTAGCTCAAGTATGACACAAACATGCTCAATATGTACACACTACTCTAGTTTTTGTTTACTTATCTATACTTTGCACTGTGTACTATACATAATGTGCATGTACTATTTGGCAGAAAGACTTCAGCTGTGAAATAACTCAAGGGCTTGGTCAAAAGTCCTGTGGAATACAGGGAAGTATAAGTAAGTAAGTTGGAGGGAAGTTTACTCAATACAAGTTACTCCTTCTAAACTCCACAGGATGGCTTAGCTGGAAATGTGAGACAGTCACAAACTTGTTTGGGGAAGAGGTCATAGAACACACAGGGAAAAGGTTAGTTATGACAATATCTGAACCACCCGAGTGATTGTTATAATATTGGGAAAGTACCTCCAGAGTTTAAGCAATGAATCAGAAATCGTGTCCTATGAACACACGTTGGCCAGAATCAGTAACGAAGCTTTGAGAGGTCATGGGAACGCTTCCTTGCTTGCAGTATTACTTTATTTATTAATGTACTTTGATTATTGAATTGTTATTTGGGTGAAATATACTGAACAAAATTATAAAGGCAACACTTTTGTTTTTGCACCCGTTCATCATGAGCTGAACTCAAAGAGCTGAGACTTTCTCTTTGTACACAAAAGGCAAAATCTGTCAAAATCTGTGTTAGTGAGCGCTTCTCCTTTGCCGAGATAATCCATCCACCTCATAGGTGTGGCGTATCAAGATGCTGATCAGACAGCAGGGGGATTGCACAATATCATTTTAGCACCCTTGAAAGAATGCAATGTCCAGCAAGTCAAATAAGCTCAACCACAACTTATTTGCTGATGTTTTCAAAAAGGAAAACTTGCACGGTTCTCATTTTCCATGACTTTTCTAGGATTAAATTATGTCACATCAGAGAGATTTCTCTGATTTAATGGTTCTTGGATAAACAACGTTTGTTGCTAATGAGTGACAAGCAGGCTCTACATGAGTCTCCCAAGGTGAGCGGGTTCAAATATATATTTTATCTTTGTCTGATGTCCAAAGCAACAGCCTTGCACTAAAGAATCTCTGTAATTACATTTAACAGCTGCGTTTTACTCTGCGTGTTTCTGCAGCTTATTACACTCACAGCCCTCCACCCATCCCTGGAGGAACCACTACGTCTTATAGTGACACTATAAACTGCGTAGAACCTCCTTCACCTACAGGATTCCAGTGTACGCTATAGGAGGGCAGGACTCATCACTGCAAACCCCCCTCAAAGATCCGTCTAAGGACTCCGTCAGTCATTTTATTAGGTTTTCCCTCGTCTCTCTCGTTTGCTCTTTAAGAACTGGCTGTGAAGGTTCATCGACCCTCTCTCTTCTGGTTCTAAGGGCGTACTCACACTTAGCAAGCGATTCATAGTTTTCACGTGACGTCAGGTTCCAAGAGGAACGCGGCCTCGGAGGGCACAAAAGACAAAATGCCGGATGCTCTGATCGGCGAGGCGAGGCGTAAGGTGAGGGATTCTCCACCAGGTAAACGTAAACATCACCGTGGTCGAGCCCAGGCAGGGAGCTGCCGAATTTTAACGGCAGAAATACGGCAGCAGGTGCTGTATGTGGATCGCACGTGCCCAACACCTGCATATCTTTCTTGTTCTTGAGTTGAGAGGTGATCCCAAATAATCGTGGGAAAGGAAATTTAACGGCTCCAGTGATCACGCTAGATGTGTACCCGAGCCGGTTAAACGTCCTTGCGCACGGTACGTACGCCCTTAGAGACTGTCCTCCCAAGAAGAACGACTCATCTCTACCGTCGACCATCTTCTCTCGTATATTGAACCTTTTTTCTCTTCTTATTTCGTTCCAACACATTTCTCTCCTCCCTTCTGTCGCTTGCCTCCTTACTAATTAATCCTCCATTAAACCCTCGATTTCTCTTTCTCATTACATATCTCGTCTTTCTAACCCCATCCTGCCTTTTTAATGTAAGCCCATTCATTCAGCGGGTGCTTTATTGGTGCACAATCTGCTAAACCAGTGTTATCTCTAACTGAGAAATCTGGCAGTGCTAATATAATACAGCTGCTGAAAGTGGCTCTGCCAGGATTAATTCAAGTGTTTCTATTTAAAAAGGATGTGAAACATATACTGTGGATATTTTGTATTTTGGATATATTCTTTCTCTGTCTCTACTCATTTATCTCTTTTCTGCCCTCCTCTTCTTTCATCTGTCCCCCCTTCTGTTCCCTATATCTTAAGTCCTTTCTTTATTCCTTTCCCATCTACTTCTTTCCCTCCCCCAATCCGTCCTCCCTTCCCCAGAGGACTCTCTTTAACTCGAACCATGCCTCCACACTGCGCTCTGCAAACAGTGCGTGAGACTCTCCATATCAAACACACTGGATCCTACAGCTGCAGATCTCTGCTGCACGTTTCCAGCCACGAAATGACTGACGGCGCAAAATCAAAACACATTACTGAAGAATAATATACATAAGAACTCGGCTTCGCGGCTGACAGGACAGTTTTATAGCAGATCCTCTTATTTTAGAAAGACTGAATCTGATTAAAGTGTATCTGAGTTTGAGGATTACATTCGCTGCTACTGCGTGAGG